AACATTTGCACATCCAACTTTGGTCACTATCAAAACTCTCCCATTCTTCAACTTCAAGATTATTATAGTTTTCATTGAAATAAAGATTAAAATTTCCTGAATTATATAAAATAAAATAAGTCAAAATTTGTCAAAGAAAAAGTTCTAGTTCGAAGTTAAAGTCAATTGGAATTCTAGCAAGCTTTTTGACCTCAATTGTTTTATTTTTGTTATTTTTCGAAAAAAATGCATTCTACTATTGGCGCAAACATTTGCACAGCCAACTTTGGTCACTATCAAAACTCTCCCATTCTTCAACTTCAAGATTATTATAGTTTTCATTGAAATAAAAATTAAAATTTCCTGAAAAGTATAAATAAAATAAGTCAAAATCTAGCAATATGACAAATATTTCTATCTTTTTTACCTCAATTGTTTAGTTCGAAAAAAAACATTTGACTATTGGCGCAAACATTTGCACAGCCAACTTTGGTCGCTATCAAAACTCTATTACCGCCTCCACGGATGGACATGTAACGTTGTTCACACATGAACAACGATTCCAGTATTTTTGTACATTTTTTCGTTCGGGGAATATAAATAGATTTGCATATTTATAGCATTTTTGCAGGAGAATGAAAGCTCGAACACTACATTTTTGTTTTTGCAACCTAGTTGATCGTCGGGATTCCGGCGTTGCGTTGCGTTACGTAACTGTAACTGCAACGTAACGTAACGTAACGGAGCGCGCAATACGGCCACATTGACAATGCAATAAAACATTTGCGGGGGGCGCGTGAATAATGGGGGGTCGCTCTACCATGGGCCGATTCGGCTGATTGTTGCCATCCATTATCACGCGAACGCGCGCTCGTTCCGCACACCGAATCTGACAAATATAATTATTCAACAACGAAATCCAACGAACGAAAAAAAAACTAAACAAAATCTAGGAAAAGATGCAAAAAAAATATATTAATAGTTTATTCAATCTATTCGAAATTATTAAAGATGAATCCAAGATGTATTTTATTCAATTTTTTTTTTATGTGTTCATAGCGCGCCCCGATCTTGTCCCATTTGGCAACAAAACGCACACACATAAAATATTCGTGGAGGGGTGGAGTGTGTGTGTAGCGAAGTTGAATGAAGAAAATCAATGATAAATTGAATATTATTACAGTGAAATGTGTAATTCCATTCGCATGCAGTGTACAACATTATTTATCCCTTCGGCGAATTCGAATTCGCGTCTAAAAACGTAAATGAAATACGAGCGACAAGGATCTCGGAGGAAGGAAGGAGGCAGGCATAGGTTTTTAGATGAAGGCGGCTGCTGCTGCTGCGGATGCTGTAGAAACGGAGGCGGCCGTGAAGGAAACTGCGGACGTGTGCAGCCTACGAAATGAACCTTCTACTTCTCCTCCTTCGCATCTCTCTTTCGCACGCCCAGACGTTATATTGCAAATCTCATTTGTGACAATAATTTATATGTAAATATATCCGCGCTGCATTCCAAAAAATTCCACCTAATATGTTTCTCCCCGCATTTCAAATATGTGTGTGTGTGTCTGGATATACCCATGATGTTTTCCCCTTTCTCGTAGGGTTGCCCCATCCCGCATGTCCGGATAATAAATCTAGACGTCCGTGGATGGGAAACACATGCGAATATAACTAAAAGAAGTCGTAGTATGCAGAGGGAAAGGCTAATCTCGCGTTTCTTCTGTTCTTTTTTTTGTCTTATTCCTGTATTCATATTTCGTATTGTGTTTTTATATCTTAAGCCTCACGGGCATATTGATAATAAATTTTCCCGTAAATCCCATTCGTTTCAAATCCACCATGATTCTATCGTTTCCACAAGACTTCTTAACTTGTCTCATTTCAAGTTAATTCGAGCTTTTCATTGAAGAAATTAATTTCTCAAATACTTGAGTGAAATTTAACATAATTCAATTAATAAATAAAAGTTTATTTAACTGAATAAAGAAAGAAAGAAAATATATAATAATTCAATAGTTAATTCGAGCATTGATTGACGAAACTTTAATTTTTCAAATTCTCATTGAAATTTAACATGATTCAATTAATAAAAAAAAGTTCATTTAACTGAATAAAGAAAGAAAGAAAATATACAATAATACAATATTTAATTCGAGCATTGATTGACGAAAGTTTATTTTTTCAAATTCTCATTGAAATTTAACAGGATTCAATTAATAAAAAAAAGTGTATTTAACTGAATAAAGAAAGAAAGAAAATATACAATAATTCAATAGTTAATTCGAGCATTGATTGACGAAACTTTAATTCAAATTCTAATTGAAATTTAACATGATTCAGTTAAAACTGAATAAGAAATATTTATAAAAGTAACATTAACATTAAAAAAAATAACATTTTAACAATTAATTAAATAAATTTTATATTTTTCAGGTCTGTTAATTTTTGGTTTAAATTTTTGTTTACTATTGAAATTTCAAGGCTACTAGATTGTTATGAACGTCACTCAAAACATACACGTAACTAAGGACTCTTTATGGTTGCTAATAACAATGATGGTTTCTATGGTTGATAATAATAATAAGTATAGGTTGCTAAGGAAATTTTCAGGACTTTCTATAGTTGTTCATTATATTTATGCTTGCTAAACAAATGTTTTCAAAGACAATTCTATTTGTAAATGTTAACTTTTAGACTAGTTTCACTGTTGATTTGAGTTCAGATTTCGTGCTTGTTCGTTGTGTAATTTGAATATTGCGAAGAATTTAGAACGATCACTCAGTTGTTTTCCGCCGCCTCAAGGTTTTTGCGAAAATAGAGAAAGAGACATGCAGTAAAATGTGATCCTAGTCATGAATGCATTCACGTGCACACACAAACACACACCAGACTGACGAACTGAAGGAGGAAAAGGCGAAATAGCTGACATTTTACGAGGACGAGACATGCACCAGAACTGCAGATTCGCATGCGATACTGAATTAATTCCCAGAT